GAACCTAACCCGAACGGTTCCATAATTATATTTGGACCCGACGGGTCCATTTGTTAAATACCCGAAAGTTTTGGGTCGGTTCGGGTATCTTCAGAACCGAACCGAACCGACCCATGGACAGCCCTAATCATGCCATATTTTTCGTAACAACCCGACATATGTGCCCAAACTGTTAACTTATGTATTGTTCACTTTAAAGGGACATTGCTTACAACGGTACTTAGTAAATCGTTATCTATGTATAGAGAGAGGGAGTTAAAACATCATAAACTCTTCAATTTAATGGCAATATGTAAGCCTAACAAATTAATTAATTTGAGGTGATCATTATATGCCACATTTTGAAATCTTGAGCGATAGGTTACTATCCTTGTGAATGTAAACAGTATTTAGGATGTGGCATATAATATAGTTGCATGTAAAATTGTAGTAAGATATCTTCTCAATCGAAACCTGAACTGATTTTCAGTCAAAGTAGCACTTCAGAAGAAGTGCCAACATTAGTCGAGGTTGCCATTGCCGAGAGAACAACATCATTATCATAGTTGGGACTGTAATCGATTTTTGTTCATACTTAGTTTTACCAGTGTTTTAAAAATCGATCGAGTTAAGCCAATTCAACCAAAAAATGAGGAACCGAGACCAAAATCGGTTCGATTAAACTTATAAAACCTCTAATTATAAATCCGTCCAAAACTCGTTAAATCTTCCAATTTTTGGAAAACTTGTGACCCGTTTCCGGTTCAACCTATGTGAATATATATTTTTTATAATTTTTAAAAATCGCCGATTCGATTTCGATTTAACATTTTGACCCTTGAACCTTTCTATTTTTCGAGTCGATGGATGAGTCGCTTTTTAAAACAATTCTTTTTACCCTTTGCATTCAACCTTTTGTATTGCATGAGTTTAAGGTCATGATATTTTATTAAATTTATAAATAACTATTTTGTCATCGAAAGATTTGTATTCAAAAAATAATACCATTTATAAACAATATAAATAAATTTTCTATAATTAAAATTTGAAGTGGGCAATGTACAATATAACGGGGTTCTTTTAAAATTGACCAAATCAAAGGCACGAAATCCAGCTTTGACTTTTCCACTTTTGAATATTACATAATTGGCCTAAAGACGTTCAAAAGACAAAAGTACCCTTAAATTAATAAAACAATTACAAATTATGATTTTATTAAAAAGACAATACTACTCTTTTGCTTAACAAATAAAAACCAAACACCCTCTACATAAAATTACAAATTCAGTTCAAACACAGATAAAAACTCTCATCTTCTTCACTCTGGAAATCTCAAAAATATCGATAGCAGAAGGAAAAAATTATTTTCTGTCAATTACTACGAATCAATA